GATTTGTGTTGTTTTATGTCCCTGAGTATGAATCCAGCGGATCCCTGCAATCCCTGAGTCTGTGCGTCCCTCCAGGTGGGCAGGGGTCTGCCACGCCAGAGGAGACCACGGGACTGGCACTTGTTCAGCCCCCGAGTGAAGCCTGAGCGTGGCTCTAATTGCTGCCTGTGACACGGATATAAATACTTCCATAAACAAAGGAGGAGAGAGGAGCTGCACAGGCTTCAGACAATGCTGACGCAAGAGGAGGGTGAACTAGCCGGGAATGTGTGGGCTAGAAATTAGGCCATTCCTCACCATCACAGCGAGGGAGGGTCTGAAGCAGCTTTCCAGGAAGAGGAGAGGAGCAAGAGGAGACCTGGAGGAAGGAGTTTGGCAGGAGGGCTTTCAGAGGGGTGCAAAGAGCAACCTCTCGCCCTCCCCAGCCTGGCACTGGGCAGCTCTGGCTCTGCACGGCCCTGGGCACAGCTCCCGGGCTGTGGGAGCTGGTGCCAACGCTGACAGCAGCCACAGGTCTTTGCACCCTTGTCTGGGCTCCCTTTGGAGCCTGTTGGACGCCCTGCCAGGGGATGGAGTGGCAGCACCTTCCCTTCTCCTCAGGGAGGTGCCAGCTTCCCTGTCTCCGGAGCAGTTCTGGCCTCGGTTCTTCTTCCTGCTCTTGTCACGCCCTGGGGCTGCTTGTCTTCCTCAGACCTTACCTGGTGCACCTTCCTAGGTCCCAGCACTGCACTTTTCCCAGGATTCTCCCAGCTGGATGCCTTCCCTCCAGAGGGAGAGTAATTCTGTCTGGCTGAGGGACGGTCGTGGTTCTGAGGTGCCTCTGATTCAGGGGGACCTGGAGCCCCGAGGGAGAGCCCTGGGGGTGCCAGAGTTCAGCAGCACGGCGTGGGATGATCCCAATGGGATGGCTGCTCCTGGCAGGGGGATTTGTGAGAGGTGGGAGAGTGGCTTAGGCTCTGTAACACCGGGGTGATGGAGAGGCCATCAGGGAATGCTGTTTCTCACAGCGTGAGAGGTGAAGTTGGCTCAGCTACGAACCTCTTGGGGGTGCTCAGAAATCCAAAGAACACTCAGGAATCCGAGCAAAGTGCTCTGCTTTGGGTTTCTCTTGCTGCTGCTCCTGCTGGCACGTGCAGGGAGCTCTGCTAGACTGGCAAGGCGTGACTTGCTTTGATGGAAGCGTTACTGGTTTGTTCCTGTCACCAGAAAATCTTCTTGAAAGATTTCGTAACTCCCTTTGATGATTTTTCACCCGTTTTTCCCTGGTGTTAGAATAAGGCTCATTGGATTATGATTTCTGAGATACTCGACTTGAAAAAAAAAAAAGATAAGTGATATTTTTTTTTTCTTCCTCAGCAGAGAAGTTGATTTAATAAGAGAAAATGAACGTGAATGACTCTGCAAGTCTGTAATGGAGTTTGGGGGTGGCCAGTGCGTTTTTTCCAACCATTCACAGTTGTGTCTTAAATATTATTGGGAACTAATGAGGTACCAGATGATTGGGGGGAAAAAAAAAGCAAGAATAATCCTGGTGATTACCATCTGGAGCGTTTAATTTCTCCCCCTAGTGAAATAACAGGACAGAAAAAAAAGGAAATAAATAAAATCAGTGATGGGGAATAGTTGAATAGAGCTCAGGTGGGCACCACTGCCAGCCTGGGCAGAGGGGGATTTGCTTGGAAGGGCCATGGGTCAGATCCCGTGGGACACCGTGGCTGCAGGATGGATCCAAAGTGCTCCTCTCTGCTGACTTTGTGTTCCTCCTGCTCCTATTTCTGACCTCTTTGGGACCTTTTCACCCTCCTGCTCCCAGTTTCATGCCCCATTTCATGAAGGTGCTGTTAGATCCCTTCCTCCAGGTCACTAATGAGAGTCCCAGTCCTTGTCCCAGGCCTGTGGCTGGAGCTGGATGGTGGTGGCAGCACATTTGGTGTCCAGCCTTTGGCTGCTTTCAGGCCCAGCTGAGAGGCTGGCAGAGCCATTCTCCCTCACTGCCACGTCTGGAAAGGCTCTGCCCTTCCCATGGCCACTGCCATCCTCAGGGAGCAATCCCAGCCAGGGACTTCTGTGGCTTCCCAGTTAGAGGGTTTGGGTTTGGTTTTGGGTTGGAAGGGACTTTAAAGTTCATCCAGCCCCACCTCTGCCATGGGCAGGGACACCTTCCACTAGTCCAGGTTGATCCAAGCCCCATCCAACCTGGCCTTGGACACTTCCAGGGATCCAGGGGCAGCCACACTTGCTCTGGGCAACCTGTGCCAGGGCCTCCCCACCCTCCCAGCCAGGAATTCCTTCCCAATATCCCATCCAACCCTGCCCTCTGGCAGTGGGAAGCCAGTTCAGACTTCCCGTGCTCCCTTTTCTGTCCCTTTGTCCCACAGGGTTTTTTACCATCTCCCTTCCTCACCCCTCTTCTCCTTCGTTGTGCTGGGAGAGGCCACAGCCAGCGGCTCCTTCTCGGAGCTGTTTGTGGTCATCTCAGCCACTTCTTCCCCTCGCCAGCCCCACCTTGTACCTGGTGTCCCCAGCCCAAAGCCCCAGATCCAGCCTGTCCCCTGCAGCCCTTGCTTTTGCCAGGTGGCCTTGTCTGCTCCAAAGCTGCCTTTCCAATGTCACCAACCTTGGGCCCTGCTCGGGAGCTGTGTCCAGACTCCCTGGAGACACAGCAGGAGTGATGCCGTGGCACAGGCACCCTGGAAAGCCATGGATTTGGCTGGATTTGCTGCTGGGCAGGAATGTTTTCTCACAAAGGGACAGGATGGGGATGGCTCAGACTGTCATGGCACCGAGTCCTCCCACGCTGGGAGTGTGGGCAATGGGAATGCAGGGTGCAGGAGACTCCCAGGCTCCCTAATCCTGGCAGCTGTGCAGCAGCAGCACAGAAGGGACCTGTGGCTCACCAGCAGATGTGGATTGAAGGAAAGGAGGAGCCCAGAGACCGACCAGTTGCTCCTGGGCTGATCTCATTGTCCGGATCCAGCCACGGTTTCCGTTCTCGTGCCGCGGAGTCGCAGAACTCGTGCTCAGGACCCGTTAGACTCACCCCGTGACCCCAAACTTCCAGGTCTGTGGATGCAGCCATCCCTGCCTGCCTCACCTGTTCTGCCAGTGCAGGGTGTTTGCAGCAGATGCTGCTCCAGCTGGGAGAGTTTTTGGGGCTGGATGCCCTGGCAGAGTCCGGCTCCCAGTGATTCCTGCCCTGTGCAGTCCCTGGGCCTCGGGGCAGGAGGGCCGAAGGAAGGGCCATTACTCATTTCCTGGACAGATCCAGGCCATGCTGTAAATCTCTCCAGCTCTCAGTGGTTTGGGGGCTATTTCTGTTGGAGGATCGTCACGTAGATTAAAGCCTTGAATCGCAGCCAGCCGTGGACCGGACACGGTCCCATGCACAGTCCTGCAGGGCTCAGCCCGGCATTCCATCTGCTCCTGGCAGGGCAGTCCCTGCCTGGGAGTGAGGGCTTGACCCTGGGCATGCAGAGTGTTCCTGCCCTTCCTTAGCCCTCACAGGCAGAGGGAACAGCCCAGGGATGTGGCTGCTCCACGCTGGAGCTCCACACTGGAGCTGCACTGGCCCCCACGCTGGGGTATGTGACCCCAGGCAGGTCTCTGGGGTGGGAACACGGGTCAGCTGTCCTCCCATTCCCAAAACTTTGGCACAAGGCCACAACTGCATCCTGTTATCCGAGTACAAGGCGCTTTGGGAAGCCCCTGGCAGCCAGTCCCTGGCCTGAGGGGTGGTGGAGGAGCTGCTGGAGCTGCAGCCCAGGGGCCAGTCGGGCTGTTTGGGCCTCCAGGCTGGGGTGTGGGGACCTCATGGTGGGCAGAGCTCCAGCAACTGCACCATCAACAGCTTTATAGGCCAGAATGAGGGCTTTTCCCTGTAAAATCCCAAAATGGGCAGCTGAGCCCCACGAGTCACATCCTACTGGTGTCCAGCCTCCCTCGTGAGTCCCCCTGGCAGCTGGGGAAGGAGCCAGGCAGGGATTCCAGAGGCACTGGTGCAGGTGTGGAGATGGGGGATCATGGTTTCAAAGGAGGGGGACAGGGCTACTGGGACAGACTGGGGGCACTGGTGGTGGTGTGGAGGGAAGATCCAAGGAGCAGGGCAGGCTGCAGGAGCTGGGACAACCCATCCTGGGTGCTGTGTCCAGACCCTGTGCCCTGCACCCCGAGCCCTCCCTGGGTGAGCAGAGGGTCTGGGTGTCTGCACTCCTGGGACAGGTCCATGCTCTGCTGACAGGGTGAGGAAGGGTCCCTCCTGGATGGCTGGGGAACACTGCAGTGGGGACTGGGGAGGGCATGCAGTGACAACTGGCCCTTGGGGATCCCTCCATGGTGTGGAGCTTCTTGGAGAGGTCCCTGACATGGGGATTCCCATGTAGGGTGGGGATGGTCCTCTGCAAGACCCTCAACACAAGGATCCCGGTTGGGGGGCTGTCCCACAGTGCCCCTGCCATGAGGAACCCTGTGGGGTGGCTTTGGGACACTCCTGTGTGGTTGGTGGGGGGTTCCTGGGTGAGGGCCCCAAGATGGGAATCTCTGTGTGTGGGGAGTTAAGGGTCCTGCTGGAGGTCACTGTGGGCTGGGGTGGAGTGTGGGGGTCTCACCAGAGCCCCAAGTGGAGGTTGGACATCCCCTGCTGGGGAATGGTCACTCCTGGGGGGATGATCCCTTCTGGGTGGGTTCTGCGGGGTCCCTGTGGGGATGCCCAAGTGCAGAGTGGGGGTCTTCTGCTTTCAGGCTCCTCCCAGGGAATGGTCACTCCTGGGGGATGATCCCTGCTGGGCAGGGGGTGTGGGGTCCCTGTGGGAATGCCCATGTGCACCACGGGGGTCTCCAGCCAGGGGTCCCTTCCCGGGG